TTGCTCCCAAAGCTCCTGTGTTAATGCTGTCATATTCATAGGTAAATAATTAGGTTATGAAAGCTGCAAACTAATCAGTCCATTCTAGAATTAATGGATTACTTGGAAACTGTATACCAAAAGGGTCTTTCTGGAAAGGGGTACACCGGAGGGAGGTATGCTCTGGAAGGATTAATTTTCCCTGCACTCCATTTTCCTTGCCTTCTCTGCTTTCTGACCATCATAAGCAGGATAGAATTACTCCATCACACTTCTGTCTCATCTTGGATCCAGAGCAATGTAGTTAACTGACCGTGAACTAAGACTCTAAAGCTATAAGCCAAAGTAAATATTCACCCCTTTCAGTTGCTCTCGTTAGGTATTTTGGTCACAGCAATGAAAACCTAGCCAACACAGAAATTGGTACTGAGAGTAGTGTCTTTGCTAAATGAACCTAACCATGCGATTCAGAAGCCTTTGGAAATAGTTTGCAGAAGTTTGGAAAAGTTTGAGATACAGGCTACATAAGATTTAGAATGTTGTCAGTGGAGCTAAATGCATAATTATGGTGGAAGCTCAAAAGTCCATAATGTCAATAGGGATGCAGACAGCAAACGCTGTGCTCATAAGGTCTCATATGGAATGAGGATTCTAGTGAGAACTGGACTAGAGGTCACTTGTATTACTTGTATTATATTCTTTCAAAAAATGTTTCTATACTTTGATCACATCCTGAGACTTTCTTTGAGGCTGAATTTAAATGTGGTGGACTAATTAAACTGATGAAGTAAATTTCAAGGCAGCACAGCACTCAGGCAGTCAAATGAATGTTGATATCAGATTTTAACTAGTTTTACTTTGAGAATTGGAGCAGAAAGTACAGCAAAAAGATTTTAAAAGCCTTCATTTGGAACAGAATAGTGCCTTTAAACTGAGGTCAAGGAAGTTGTGGCTGTTGAAAGATTACAACCACTAAAAGGATGCTAAGCACTTTGCATGGAGACCATAGGAGATAAGTTGAAGCATCGCAGGAATTGGCAAAACCATACCCACTGTAAAAGAAAAATGTCCTTTGAAAGAGACATTCTGGCATCCTACTTATACATGGGAGGGGGGCTAGAATTGTTCTTATAGATTTCAAAATCGTGGAAATTTTTAAAGCAAATCTTTCAAGAAATTGTGTTAGATCAATTAGTAAAACTGTTGGATAAATATCATGCAATATTTATGTGCTTCATCATGTGTTATATGAAATATAACTTATAATCATAAATAAGAACAAAAAATGAATTAGGTAAAAGCTTGAGAGTATTTGCATAATCTTTGCAGTGGGAAAGTGTTTCTTTACTAAAGCACCAAAGCTACAAGTCATGAAAGTAACGTTAACAGATCAGTTACATAAAATTAAAAGCTTTCAACAATTTTTAAAGGTAATCCATTATTGGGAAAATACTACCTTATGGAAATTGTTCCACAAAACAGTAAATAAGACAAATTAGAGAAAAATGGGCCAATGGATATTTAAAGGTTATTTAAAGTCCTATAAAAATATAAAAGGTAATCTCATTAAAATCAAAAGGTTTGCAATGTACTCAAGAACAAATTGTTTTTATTCTAGTATATTAGTCATATTTGATGATTACCAATTTTAATATGCATGTGAGGAGGAAAAGTATTCTCAAATGCTATTTACTAAAGAGTAAATTGATACATTATAGAAGAAAAGAAGGTAATGACTGCCAACACTTAAAATAGTTGGCTATTTTAATCTGAAAATTCCATCTTTAGTGAAACATGGCACAAGAATAAAAACGTGAATCTTCATAAGAATGTTTATTAAAATATAATATACACATTTTCTGCAACTTACCTTATTGATTAAATACACATTAAATACTGTGAACTATAAAATAAAATCTTATGAAACCATAAAAAAGAATTTTATGGCCAATGTGAAAGACATTTTGCCATAAACTATAGAATTATACTGCAAATTATATGTGCAATTGCTCAAGAGTATACATATATTTATAACTTTATATAATGTGCAAGACAACATCCTAAGCATAGAATAATTATAACATTTGAAAGTATGTGGATAAGGGGATTTATTTTTTCTGTCCCAAAAATGGTTAATTAATCTGTATGACATACTTTAGCTTTCTTATTCTTCAGACCTTTGGGTACTAAATTATATTGTAGATGGAAAGTGAAGAAGCGAGGAGATGGTCTTTTGCTATGTTCCACATTGTGATTATTGTATTCAATGAAGGAAGTTCTAAGGGCTGTTGTGATGCTTTCAGTTCTGTTATGATGTCCCTCAAAATAAATCAAGAATAGAATCTGCTGAGTCCAGATGGTTCCTGTAAAGATAAATCATCTTGTTTTCAAACCTGAAGGAGTTGAAATAATAAATATCAACAGTAATCTCATGCATCGTGAAATCACTTGAGTTTTTTTTCTTTAAAACACTCCAAATATGCTAATGAGCTTGCCCAATTTCTGGTTTGCTTTTTGTCTATATTAAAGTTAGTAAAGAAAAAATCAAGTAGTCTTAGTTCCTTTCTCACTTAAGGAGTTGTGATTGTTCTGATTCTGTACAGTGATGACTTGGATTAATTCTTGATGTTCTCTTTGTTTCCTGTATTCCATGTAATGTCTTTTTTTATTATTAACTTGTAATAATTCTACCTATGGATGATGTAGGGTATGATATTTCCACATATGTACAGAGACTGAGTTGATCATATTAGGGAAATTAGCACTTCCCACTCTGCCATTTCTTTCTGTTTAGATCCTTTGATTTCATTTATTCTAGATTTTCATAAAATAAATTATAATATTGAGTTCTGTTTTACTACATTTTATAGGTACTTCTGTCTTTGTTAGTACTTATGTGCTCTTTAGTAAATAGCATTTAAGAATGCTTTTTCTCCTCACATGCATATTAAAAATGGTAATCATCAAATATGACTGCAACTTCTTTCTTAAAACTTTACCTTTTAGAAGTTTAGACAAATTAACAAAATTATAGCATGTTCAGTTTCTTCCCCCCTTTTTATTACCATTTAAGGCTATGAAATATTCTTATGTCATATTCCCAGGAAATCATGATAACCCACATTATAGGGAAAGAGAAGACCAAAAATTTCAATGTTCTTATTGATTCTTGGTTCTTTAATGAGTTCAAATCTGCTCCCAGGCTATGAAGGGATTTGGGAAATTCATGGATATATCCTATTTCATTTCCAATTAGAATGGACCCAGATGTGGTCACATGTAATGGTACTAAGGTTTCCCCTTATTTATTAATGATTACTTTGAATTATTTATGAGTGGCAATGTGGACTTGAACACACAAATCCCACTATTCTCAAGAGCAGGATAATAGTGCTTCTTATGAAGCAGAACCCACAATTTTGAAAAATTGCTCATGTCAAGATATTTCAGGCTCCAAAGCTGATAACAATAAAAGTTATGGTGTCCTCTGTGGCCCTACGTAAATTTTCATCAACCACTACAATCTTGGCCCAGGATATCCAAAGCACTTGGCAATTTGCTGGTGATTATTAAGTTCTTTTGTAGTCATACCGATGGGTGATCACATGAAACTGCTATTTTTCTACTGTTCTATCTCTGCCAAGTCTTATTATGGCTTGTGTTTCTGAACTCCAAATGAGTATCTGAGCTAGAGTTAGAGAATCTATGAATACACATCATAAAGAAACGGAACTGATTCTTATCATTGAAATAAGCAATACCATCAAATATTGCTGTAATTGTCAAGGTATTTGGTGTGACCACACACTAGACAAACTATCATTCAACTCTTTCATCTCAACAAAATAATTCAAGAAGAACTTCAAAAGCACTGGGATCCATAAAGATTGGTGGAAGTCAATTTTCCAAAGGAACCCCATGCAAACAATAGACTCATGCTGTTTACTGTACCATAAATGGCAACATCCTTAGTATTTAACTCGTAACTCTCTTGTCATCTGTCAACATATATGAAACTATGGCAAGTTAACAAGTTAGCTTCCATATAGAACACAATTTTAGACCATTCTCAGATTGTGACAATGGAAGTCTTGAGTTCTAGAGTTTAGTGAGATAGAATGATTTCCTCAGTGCCCATCAAACTCTGTGAAATATTTAAGGAGATAGGCTGACTTCGTCTCACCAATCCATGTGTGACCAACTTTATTTTGTGTGGTGTTCTAGGACAACCACATCATAAATAAGAAAACAATGTGTGTGAAATCTTAATATCTACAGTTTTACCTCTTAGTCTGCATTGACCACTGTAAAAGTACAAACCAAACCCTCCATGTGTCACTCCCTGCTGAAGTAGAAGCCACCATTTAAAAAGGTTCTTCAATATCTTCTTTAGCCCAACTTCCTGCAGAAGTACATTTTTGCCTTTCTGACACAAGGTATTTCTAACATAGTAGAGATCTAAATTTTACGAAACTACTTTCTGATCCTTAATGAATATCCAAATGAAGGCTGCTGCTGATGTCTGGGAAATAGCACATTCATACACATATATACCAATCCAAAGCAAAGAATATCAGGAGGCCACTCCTTACACTTACCAGATTTTGGATATGTTATTATAAAGAAAGACATCATCATCTCTAATTTCAAAATCTTCTATAGCTTCCAGTATTTCAATGTTAGCAAACTGACGTTGTAAATAGTGGCCTTTAAAGTTATATAAGTATGAATTCTTATTGTCCATGATTTTTCACCTATAAGTACAAACAAAATCCTCTTCAAGTTCTTAATATACTATAGGATTTTATTATTTGTATACTTAGTGATAAATA